GTCTAAAACATTACTCACAATCGGCATTAGCAGAACACCATTTGGAAACTGGTCACAAAATTATGTTTGACCAAACCCAAGTACTAAACAAAACTAGGACTTACTTCCCTAGAAAGTATACAGAATCTCTGGATTTATACAAACATCCAAACAATCTCAATAGAGACAATAGACATATGATTAGTTCACTATGGCATTCCATCTTGCCATAACACATCCTCCCCTCCTTCTTACCATTCCACCTTTCCTCCACCACACTCTTCCTACTTCAATCTAGCGCTATAAAAGGGGACATCTGACCAAGAGCATCTCAGTATCAGACTGCTCTTCAAACTTTGATGAAGTGAGCTGTAATGTTCACGAAACGTTGGTATAAAAATGACACTAACGCGNTTCAAACCCGAAAAAACATCTTTGTATGTTAAGACAGTAAATTATGTTTATAAGGTATTTTTTCATTTACTTATTTATTTACCTATATTTATAAAATGTTATAAATATCTATAATATAATATCTATAATTAATATTTATTAAATTTTGTTTTTTTGTTAGTTTTTTAAGTAAATATGTTTATTAGATTTCTTAAAATATCATTCTGGGCATTATTCCATTAAAGTATTTTGAAGTTCTAACAAATGGCAGTACTAGTGGCTTATATAAACATGGTTGACTAAGTTTCATCTTTTTTCGACAACGCTCCCTCCTTTATCTCCATGTCCGTCCGTGAAACCATAGAGCTTTCAATATAATACTGAATAATTAGAGCGCTTCGACTTCCTCTTCTCGGCGTCCCTCCTCTTCCTCGCGACTCTTCTCTTCCATATGGCCTGCTGGCACTGCCTCGGCCGCCTCGNTGGAGGTATACAGGTTATATATATATATGTATGGGTAATAAACAATTTGTTATAAAAACAATAACAGTATTGTCATTTTACTTTTTTCCCTATAAAAAACAAAGTATGGTATTCTATATTTTAAATATGAATGTCTATCCAACATCCATATTCAAAAACTAAAAGATACAGAAATAAAATGTGATAGAATAGGGCTACAGGCGAAGGTCCACGTTAAAAAATCTAACGTGCTATTAGTGGCACCTCCTGGATAGTGCGGAAGACCACTTCTTTATAATATTATCTATAATATCATTGCAAAACATAAAACTTATATATTACATAATTGTTTCGAAAATGTTTAATATTGTAACATGAAAGATCTTTGTAGCAAAGTTTATTTATTTATTTATTTTCGGTTTATTTTCTATGGAGAAATGCATGATGACATTTCATGTATTTGAAAAAATGACATTGCTGTCAATTGATTCCATAAATTGCGGTGTCACCAACATGAATATTTCAATGTGTGAGACGAGCGAGAAACGTAGAACTTCACGCATCTACGTGTCTAAAGTTAACACATCGAAGCTTTCATTTTTGCTGCTCGATCGACGTTATGATCTAATTTGAGAATATATATTGGACAATTTGTGTAAAGAATGAAATTGAAAGCTTATATTAAATATCATATCATTAAACCTCAAGCCTTTTTATTGAACTTATGTCTCACAAAGCTTTACACACAATTTTTATGTAAAAAACGTACAATATTTATATATTTATATTTATTTTCGAGATTTACAATCTTAAAAAAAGTATGTAATATTATTGATGTTAGTAAAACATCTCAAGATGCATTATACTTTTTTAGAAATTATTACATATTAGTTAACTGAAAGAATTCAAAAGGTTTTTGAATATTGAAAGGTATTAGTGTTTTTTTTTATATATTTTTGTTTTGTAAATTATGACAAGAGAATCTACATTTTTCAGACATATAATCTCAAAAGATTTACTTCATAGTATACAAAATTCAATTAATTAATATATTATATTCATATGATATGAATTAAATACTTTAGGATTGTGCATCTGTAAAATGTAGATTCTTTTCGTGATTTACACAAATTAAAAATATAGAAAAATTAGGAATACTAATAATATATATAGTTTATATACTCGTATATATATGTAAAGAAAGTATACTTCCTTTAGTTTAGTTGGAATAGACCGCGCCTCTCATGCTCCGCGCGTTGGTTATGCTAATCACCGATAGAGAGAGTAATGATGATTGAAGAAAATAAAATTATTACAGAGAGAAAATATATGTGTG